TCTCAAAATGGTATCAGTGCCCTATTGGTTGGTACTCGCCGATACCACCATTTTAGTGCTGGAACATGGCCCCGCACGATACAGGCATCGGTATAACAAATTTTTAAAACTGAATTTCATTTTATCTATACCCCCATTTTGAAAGAATCCTTGAGATATCTACAATAACAAAAGAAACCTCTCCATTTGAACATGTCATTCTAAACTGGGTTTATTTGCAACATTAGCATAAATGTTCACAAACCTAAGCCTCTTATGAGTCCTAAAGATGAGGAAAATGAACTGAAGAGAGCAGGATTTCAATGCATTCATTACTTTATTGCATTTAAGGCATCGTATAAAAACAGACTCGCCTTAGAACTAGAGGATGAGTAACATGCAAACCAACAACCGTCTGAGAATTCAGTGGCAGGGTGTTATTCAAAAATATGCTGCTGCTTTTATTTAGGAGGCAAAAGTACTGGTAGAAACCCTGTCTGTTATTTAAGGGGGAAAAAACTAAAGAACTATTAAAGGACCCATCACCTATAATTGATAGTGTAAAAAACAGTGGGACAATACAGCATCCAAAAACATGATATTAAATGCGTCATTAAAAATTCAAAATTGTTCCAACCAAGTGAATTTGATAAAGTGTCATATGATAACAGACTACAGGGGAAACCTACAGATTTTTAGAGGTTATAACAATTACTTTGAGGAAAAGTGCATAAAGATACAAGAATATATTAGCAACAGCAATAGCATGTTAGAAGCACTAAATATTTAAACGGTTCAATATACCCGTCATGTAGAAAAATGGGTAGGAAAAGTAACTTTTAAACGTAAATTGAACTGCATATTCTTGGACATTTTGGCCCATGGAAGTGCATGTGAAAGGTCGATGTAAGGCTAACATTTCATGGTCTCTGCAGTCGTCGCATTATTTCCCTTTTTATCCGTCCTCAGCTCACTCCGCTGCAGGCTCTGATAGCCCAGCTGGTACTTCTACCTCTTCGTCGCTGTCGAGACCGCCGGTGCGGCCCACACCGACCCGCATGCTGAGGGGCAAATCTCCTCGTCTGCAAACAGAAACAGTTTTTTTTTTTTTTAAAAGCAAGCTCCCCCACAGTGTCACAGTATCAGAAAACAGCTTGGAACCCATTGCCTAGGTTGTATCTGTACCATTAGACAACTACTAGGCTGTTGCCTAGGGCCCCAAGTTCCTGGGGGCCCCATAAAACTCCGTTTCCATGTATGGTTAATACAACTTTTCCTTATTTGTGCATATTAATTGTGTTTTTGATAAAAATCCTTCTGCTAAAGTGCCATCAGAACGCTGATAATATTAAGTTTGTCTCAGCCCCCGAGTTGCCTCTTGTAAAGTCACATGAAGGGTAAGTCATACAGTGGGCACTGGTTGGAAATGGACGGTTTCCTGCGTGATTCCTGTGTGATTCCTGCGTGATTCCTGCGTGAATCACGATGTATTTCCTGAGGCCAGTCGTTTTTATTTCAAAAAGAACTGCAATGTACCCGGACAACCACCAGGTGGCACTTGGGAACTTTTTTTTTCTCCTTTAATCCAGGCTGTTAAGATGCTGTCTTTAAAGCAGGTTTATTGGGGATCTTGGTGTGATATTGTGCTATTTTATGATGTTTTTGATTAAA